CTAAAAATGTTGCAACATAGATATTAGGAGAATACATCGCCTGGAAAACCACAGATTAAAATAGTATGTACATTCCCTCATAATTTCACCTTATCAATTTCGCCACAGAGGAAGGTGCATCCAGTGTCTCATGCTCGGAAGTCTACTGTGGACTTTATCCTGAGTCAGAACCAGAAGTGAAGGCGGTGGCTAGTTTCTTGAGAAGAAATATCAATCGCATTAAAGCATACATCAGCATGCATTCATATGCCCAGCATATAGTGTTTCCATATTCCTATAATCGAAGCAAAACCAAAGACCATGAGGAACTGGTAAGTGCTACTTAATTATTTTTCTCATTAGCATTTTGGAAATAAAATAATACTTAGTTGAAATCAAAAACCATGGGAAAAATTTTGTCCTCTATAAGGCAAATGATAGATGTTTTAAATCATGGTGTGATTCTGTTGAGAGTTGCCCTGGATCAGTGTTCACTAAGGGAATGTAAAAGAATGTGCCTTACTCTAACAACATGCGCTTTATTCCAACAACGGGCTCCCTTAGAAAATGTCAAATTCCTGGAAGGTTAGGAAGGAACTACTCCACTTGACCTGATCTGCATGTGAAGCCATACAAGCAAGGACGAGAGTTATGGAATCAAACAACAGCTTTGTGGTCACTAGCTTCCTACAACAGCCCACCACAGATTAAGTCTCAACACAGCACTCATTGCTTTGGTATTAGCAGCAGGAATTGTTTATGCCCTGACTTCGCTGACCCTCAGGGTTTTGGTCCTATTAAAGTACCTCCAATTTTAGCATTGAGGCAAGAGTCTGTTTTTCGGAACATAATGAACAATACAGGAGGTTCAAAGAGGACTCACATAATCTGCTACTCCCTTAGCACTTTTTAGTCCCAGATACTGTATGTTTGGGTTGATGGCAAAAGATGCAAGGATTCTTGAAGGATTGTAGCTAGGCTTCAACAAACCCTCATCCCAGATGCTCTTCAGATAGTGAAAGTGTTATAGCAACAGCCCCATTCTTGGGCAGGAACTAAATTTTAGGTAGTAGCTGGTTTCTTAGTGACTCTTCTTTGTTTTTCTGGCTCTCTTAACAGAATAAAATATAGTCACATTTCAGGAGCTAGCAATTGCTGATGACAAATATTAAGATTATTTCCATTTGCTGAAAATAGCCCATTTAGAAATAAATATACTTGATACTTGAGCTTTTTTCTTCTGGAGGGAAAACTCTAAAGGAAAGCACCTTTTAAAAATATCTTTAAAGAAATAAAAGGAAATGTATCATGATTTGGGAAGTAGAATTAGTCTAATTATGCTTTTTTTTTTCATTACTGTCAGCACACATACTTGTTAAAAGCCATTACGTGTAAAATACTTGTCAGTGGATGTCTAAAGAAGCATTAGGTAAAATCCTGCCCTTTAAGAGAATGTGTTATGGTTAGGGAGCTCAACCATGAGATTAGATACATTTTAGACAGGCATTGAAAGAGGATTTCTTTAGGCAGACAGGAAAGGGAGGACCTTCCAAGCAAAGAAAATGTTGTTCCCTATAACAGGATGCAAAAGTGGAGAGTGATACCGTCAGAAAGTAGATGAGGTTGGCTTGTGAAGGGGTGCGAATGTCAGATAAATTTGTATTTCATTATGTAGACAATGGGGTTCCATTAAAATTTATTTTTTTGAACAAAGAAATGGCATAACATAATATCTACTGATAAATCTCTGAGTTTTTCAAGAGGGTCACAGTGTATACCATGATGCTAGTTCCAATTTCCTAAAAGTTCCAGGTAAGTGAGAACTTCAGAACAGATTTTTGTAAGCTAGAACAAAATGAAGTCGAACTAGGGTCTTTGTTAATATCCTGCTCCATACCAGAGTCATAATCTTTTTTGATTTGATGAATTTGTGAAAGTCATTAGACATTTTACACAAAAAGAAAATAGAAGTTGTGAAAAGGATAAGAAGTGAATCATGCATACATTAGGTGTATGTATGTGTTTAGAGATGCTGGATTTAAAGTTTGCTGATAATTTTGTTCAGAAATGGAGTACCTCTAAGCCTTTGAAATGTAGTTATACTTCACTTTCCATAATAAATGAATTCCCAAAAAGGCATGTAACAATTTTTTTCTTCAAATTAAAATTTCAATATATTGGAATAGTTTATGTTTAAAGCCACCCAATTGTGATTGCCACAAAGTGCACATTTTTAAGTTAATTTGTTAATCTTATTAATTTGCCTTTTGGATGAATCTAGATTTTCTACATGTACACTTTGATTCAATTATTGTATGATTGTTTTTTAGAAACTTCTACCTGTCCTGTTTCAAAGCTGCACATTAACTGAAATTCCATGTCTTCTTGCTTCCAGTCTCTAGTAGCCAGTGAAGCAGTTCGTGCTATTGCGAAAATTAGTAAAAATACCATGTATACACATGGCAGTGGCTCAGAAACCTTATGTAAGTATTTCTTCTTATAATCTTAGAGAACTTTGGGCTGTTAAAGAAATCTCTGTGATCTGCTTTTCTTTGTGAATTTATTTTTCCAAATTAAATAGAGTCATATGTAATACACTTGAACTGTAATAATTAGGAACAGAAAAATAATCGTTATGACAGTGCTGAACAAAGCTATATAAATAAATGAGTTACTGGCCAGGCGCAGTGGCTCATGCCTGCAATCCCAGCACTTTGGGAGGCCGAGGTGGGAGGATCACTTTTAAGGTCAGGAGTTTAAGACCAGCCTGACCAACATGGTGAAACCCCGTCTTTACTAAAAATACAAAATTAGCTGGGCATGGTGGCGCATGCCTGTAATCACAGCTACTCAGGAGAGTAAGGCAGAAGAATCAATTCAACCTGGGATGTGCAGGTTGCAGTGAGCCGAGATCATGCCACTGCACTCCAGGCTGGGTAATAAGAGCAAAACTCCATCTCAAAAAAATAAATAAATAAAATAAATGAGTTACTAAAAAGAAGCCAAAATGCTATCTAATACATTATATTTATCACAATAGAGTAGGAATTACAGAATTGGAATCATAGTAATGAGTGAAGCAGAAAAGTTCATAAAACTTTTGTATGATTCCCAGGGCCACCACGGAGGGTTACAGGTTGTATACTACACTAATCTAGGGCATCCCATTTGCATCAAGCGTTTTTTAGTGTTAGCCTGTCCCCAAGACTATAGCTCATAACACATTACAGTTGACTGTCTTTAATATATTATTACACAGACAAGAGCTTGTGACAAACTCTTAACAAAAAGTTTTGATTAATTTTTGCTGAAAGATATTTACTAATGAACTCCTATCTACACACAGTGAGAGGGCAGACTGATTTTGCCCTTTTGAAGTTTGAAGGAAGATGGGAAAAAAGGAGCAGAAAATAAACCTGTAACCAGGCATCAGAAAACTACAGCTTGAAGGCCAAATCCAGGTTTTTCCATTTTTTTAAATGGAAAAATCAAAAAGAGGCCAAGTGCGATGGCTCACCCCTGTAATACCGGCACTTTGGGAGGCCAAAGCAGGAGGATCACTTGAGGTCAGGAGTTCGAGACCAGCCTGGCCAACATGGTGAAACCCTGTCTATACTAAAAATACAAAAATTAGCTGGGCATGGTGGGGCGCCTGTAATGCCAGCCACTCGGGCAGCTGACACATAAGAATCACTTGAACTCGGAGGGCAGAGGTAGCAGTGAGCTCAGATTGCACCACTGCACTCCAGCCTGGGTGACAGAGGGAGACTCCATCTCAAAAAAGGTCAAAACTGTATTTATAATGAACACTAAAATATGTATACATTTTAGTTAACATGCATTAAACTGTAACAAGTCTTCTGGTAATTAGAGCTTTCATGTGATGCTCCCCAAACTGTATTAGATAGATGCTAAAATTATAAATTAAAAATTTGGGCCAAGTTTTTGCCATACCCTGGACTCAATTTAGCACCCAAAAAAAAAAAAAAAAAAAAGAATGTTAGATTTTTCAATTAATGGAGTTGGAAAACCTAACAAGTTACCTAGAAAAAAATTAATTGAATTATTAACATGTCTTTCACCAAAGTAAATTCCAGGTAGAACATATATTTTCATACGAAAACTCTGCATAAATGAAGTTGAAAGCTCAGTAAGGAGAAAAAAATTCTTTATGAAAGAAGAAAAAAGGGGTCTACATGCCAAACAGAGATAATAACATTAATGTTGTTTTTATAAGCAATTGATAAAATGAACCAAGTAGAAAAATGAGGAAGGACAACTAATAGGAAATATAAAGATGGTCAATAAATATGCCAAACAAAATGGCAACTCACTGATTAAAAAAAAAAGTCAAGACAGTTGGATATTCGTTTTCAACCGTAAAATTATCAGAATTCATAATTCCTATTGATGGTATGGGATGGGGAAGTGGGCAAATTCACATCCTGCTTATGGAGGTATAAATTAATTCAGTTCTTTTGAAGTCCATTTGGGAACTTGTTGTAATTGCAAAAAGTGCAAAGCCTTAGACTAGCAAATCTATTCTAGGAAAGAATATTCTAAAGAGACAAAGAAGCAATTATATATAAACAAGGGTACTCACTGTAAAGTTGTTTATATTAGCTGAAAACTGAAAAAAATGTAAAGGTATCTAAACAAATAAACATTTAAATCAAACAATTCCCAGTTTATTAATTAATTTGAAACACCTATATTTCAAAAAGTAACTTCTATCTTCTTTCAGACCTAGCTCCTGGAGGTGCGGATGATTGGCTCTATGATTTGGGCATCAAATACTCGTTTACAATTGAACTTCGAGATAAGGGCAGATACGGATTCTTGCTACCAGAGCGTTACATCAAACCCACTTGTAGAGAGGCTTTTGCCGCAGTCACTAAAATAGCTTGGCATGTCATTAGGAATGTTTAATGCTCTTGATGTCGTCATTCTGCATTTGTATTTTAATTTACTGATTCCAGCAAGACCAAATCATTGTACCAGATTATTTTTAAGTTTTATCCGTTGTTTTGATAAAAGATTTTCGTATTCCTTGGTTTTGTCAGAGAACATAATAAGTGCTACCTTGACATTAAGGCAGACAACGGTTCACGTCTTTTACCTTTTAAAAAAAATTGTAAAAGTCTAGCTACTGACATTTTCTTTTATTTCCGACGTTTGACTAGCCATCTCAAGCAAGTTTAATAACTAGTTTCATGCCAATCATTGGATCCTACTCAACAAAAGGAAGAGTGGTCAGAAGTACATTAAAGATTTCTGCTCCAAGTTTTCAATAAATTTTCTGCTTGCGCTTTTAGAAATACAACCACGCATTCCGTTTGTTCCACAGTATTTAGGCGATGGATGGTCCAGAAAGAAGGGGGAGTGTCAAAAACGACAAACATCGCCTCTCATTCCAGCTCTGCTGCTCAATAAACACTGTTGAACGAATGAATGAATGGCTCCAGTTACTTTCAACAACAAATGCGGCATTTTGCGCTTTTACAACAGCTGTTGATAGTAACGAATTATGTAATAAAAAGAGAAAGCTCTCTTACATTTACTTTGAAAAGGTAATTTTAGTTCTCCCTGGCTCCCAGTTTCCTCTCGCAGGATCTCTCACAGAGTACAGATTTGCTGATTTCCAGGGCCGGCCGCACTCTCACTCCTTGCAGGGGACTTTACGCCCAGAGGGCGTGTCCACGGAGGACGGTGTCTGCGCACTGACGACTAATCTTACGGCCGGAAGCTGCCGGGGTCTATAGAGGAACAGGGCAAACCTCTGACTTCCGGCGGCGTTTTGAGGCGGTCCTTCTAGCGGCCTCATAGTGTTTTTGTTGCCTTTTCTTACTCTACAATAGCTTCGTTATCTTTCTTCCTACGACCCAGTTTCGCTTTACCCTGGCGAGGCGGCGGACGGGTTCTGCTTCTCAGCCGTCCCGGGGGCCCCTCGCTAGCCGAGGGCCGGTTCCCGGGAACCGCACGCGCACCGCTTTCTCCTCGTCGTCGTCCTCCTGGTTCCAGGCGCGGGGACAGAGAGTCGCCTCCCCCGCTCCTCGGAGCGGCGGCGGCGGTGGTGCCTCCGGACTGCACTTGCGAAGAGAGCTTGGGGAGGAGGTAAGTGTTCAGCGAATTGGCGTGGGTATCTGGAGAAAGGCGTTGGGCGGACCCGGAAAGTGGAGGCCCGGGTTACCCCCCATCTTCGCTTGAGTCACTGAGATTTTTAGCTTTCATTGAGCATCCCACCCTTAACTCTGCAGTACCTCCCTGTGCTCAGACATAATTTCTCGCTGTGGTTATGATTCTGGCATTTGTCTAAGGAAGATAGGCAGACTCCGACGATAGGCTGTGCCCTTCATTACCATTTGATGTAAGCACGGGAACCCTTGTATGGTATTCGTATTTGTATGCGATAGAAGGGTGCAGCAATTTGGGCTTAGATTTAGAATCTCCCTCTATACGCGTCCCAGACCTGTTAGAGAAAAACATCTTGTGATTGGTCTTGTTTTTTTCTCAGCAGTGATAACGATTTAGGTCCTGGGAATTGAGTGGTACTTTATCTTCACATGCTGTAGGTAGTTGGTTTTGGCAACTGTCAAAAACGGGGGAAAGTGGAATGAAAGGAGAGAGTCTATTTGCCAATTTCTGTATGATAGGTTAATGCAACTTACGTGGTTTGAAAATTATTCAGAGTTAATAGTACTTGAATGATAATTGGTAAAATCTTGTTTGTGGAGGGTAGAGTCTTAAGGTACTTGGCTCTACTCTGGGGCTTTCAGGTAATTCGAACTACTTTGAAAGTTATGGGAGTATGAAGTCTTAAGGTTTTTGGATTTTTAAAGAATTAGTTTAAGAAGTTTGGAAAATATCTTTACACCTCTAGTTTTCAAAGTCCGCGGTACTGTTAGAGAATAAATTCTTAATGCAGTTCAGTCTATGAGTATGTGGTGCCAGTTAGCGGGGTGTAGTTCTGTAACATTTGAAATTATTGGCTTTAGTACCTAAGCGACAATATGTTGGAGCGTATCGTGAATACAATCTATAGATTTTCAAATAATTTCTAATTTTTAATGAACTATTTAGATTATAACATGACAGTTTCAACTAGAGACTTAACAAAGCTGATGCAAGTTTGTAACAATTTGTGACTTTAAAAATACTGCGCTGTGAAACTAAGGCTTTCACTGTGTGCATCTAGTAGGATTCAATTTTATCAAATTGTATGTCTCTTACTGGCTCCCTGATTACTGGTCATTCGAAATGGACATTGCGTATTTTGAGATTTGCAAGCTTATATGATTTTCATATTTGTAATATGAATTAACATACTAAAATCCAGCAAGTGGATGGTATCATAACATCTATACAAATTAATAAAATTGTAATGTCATCAGTGTTTATTTTTAATATGCATTGGCATTTGCATAGAGGAAAAACATTGTTTGACTTACATTTACTTAGTGAATTAGTTTTCAGTGGATGTTAGTCTTCCTCACCTCCTCATCTCTCCCAACTCCATCTTGCATCTCCTATAGACGTGGAGCTATAGTAGTAGTTGAAACATTAACTGCCGTTGATATAGAAAGAGTCTTTTATTCTTTTGTGTGTGTGTGCATTTTTGTATGTTGCAGTCCTTTTTACTTCACTTGAGAGTAGCTACCAGCATGGGATGTTCTCTGTGCAGTCTTTTTAACAAATTATTTTTTCTGCACAGTACTGCAGTGTTGCTTCACTAATTCCTATGTAGTCAGCTTAATTCTGTCAATTGTGTTTGGAATTTAGTTTGGAATTGTTTTAGTATTAATTTATGGAAGCAATCTGAAAGTTTGTTGTAGAAAGTTCTTTTTAAAATGTTTTCTCAAACTATGCATCAGATAAACTTAACTTTTTTCTTTCTAAAATTATGAAGTATAAATGTGAAGATACCTTATTTTTAGTATCACCTTTTTAATCTTAGAAATTCAGAGTATAGGGATTTATCCTACCAGTTAGTACATTAATGTAGTTTCAATTGCCTAATTATTTGAAAATTTTCTAATATTATGTCACTACTCATCCAGATTAAAGTGTTATGTTTTCACTTAGGCTTCCAGAAGATGAGACCTGAAAAAGATAGTTATGGATTGAAGTGAAGATACTAGAAGGGATATGTGTTTACTGACAAGATTTTCATAATTGAGCTTCTGGAATCATTATTCAAAAAGAGTCTGTCTTGTATGCTTCTCCTTTCTCAGCCATAGTTATAACGTGAACCTCTGAGTACAGTGTAATATTGTAGGTTTCCTAGGGCAAGGAAGCAGTTCCCATTTAAGACCCTCCTTTGTTGTGTCTTTATTAATAGACTCAAACTTTGTGTCCTGGATTTTCCTTTTCTTTTTCCATTTTCTTTTTTAATAAAAAGAGATGATAGAAGACTTCAGATATTCATTTACTCTGCAAATGGAGAGGAGAAATAGGAAAATAAAGGAATAGATTTTCATTAGTGCCGCTCTATCTTTGATAATTCTCCTGTTTGGGAAAGACTTCATGATATGGGTTGCAGTGTGACGGCAACTTAAACCAAAAACAAAAATGGAGGAAAACCTTCATAGAAGAGTAAATTAGTAAGTTATTGGTATGACCTAGATTTATATTCTCTATAATAGGACTTTAGTGTTTACATTTTTATCTTATTGTTTCTAATTTTTCTCATATACTTTGAAGCATTTACTTCTCGTTGAAGCCTGTTCAGATATAATTTGAAAAAGCTTTCCCCCTCCTTAAATTCTACATTTTAACTGTTGTGGTGTTCATTTTTCTATATGGGCCCAAAGTTTTAAATAGGATTGAAAATTCTAATTGTCACCCTAGTTGGTAATGTGTAGTTTTAATATATGAAAAAGGTTATGTTTTTCTGTTGTATTGTAGATATTGTGTATATTTTTAGACAAATGGGATTTTTAAAGTTATAAATTGTGTTCTTTGCAAGTATAAAGCATTTTGTTTATCCAAACTCTTGAATGTCATTAGTAATACTTAAGTAACATTTTATTGTTGACTACAGATGGAAGTTTTTACATGGATGATCAGAAGAATTCTTTCAGCTAGAAATCTTCAGTTCCTACTTTTTTCCTTTTTGCACCAGATGTTTTACACACACACGTATATACCACATTAATGAACATTTTAAAGAATATATGTGTGTGTGTATTATTGTTATTGTTTTTTTTTTTTTGAGACGGAGTTTCACTCATGTTACCCAGGCTGGAGTGCAGTGGCGCGATCTCGGTTCACCGCAACCTCCGCCTCCTGGGTTCAGGCAATTCTCCTGCCTCAGCCTGCTGAGTAGCTGGGATTACAGGCACGTGCCACCATGCTCAGCTAATTTTTTGTATTTTTAGTAGAGACAGGGTTTCACCATGTTGACCAGGATGGTCTCGATCTCTTGACCTCGTGATCCACCCGCCTTGGCCTCCCAAAGTGCTGGGATTACAGGCTTGAGCCACCGCGCCCGGCCTATTGTTATTGTTAATATTATTGTTTTAAATTTTCTGTCCAGGACCTTGCTGTAACCCAGACCTTGTACTCAGTTGCAGTGCTACTTTAGGGCGAAGGCTAATACTCTAGGACTCTGAGAAAAATGAGAATACATCTTTACTTAATTTCATTTCTTCCCTAAATTGGAAGACTCAGTACAGTAGTAGTTAGAAGTGAAATTCCTGGGATAATTACTATGTAGGTGAATCTTGAATAGTTCTTGATGTCACCTGTAAAAGCAGTTTTGTCTCTGTGGAAAGAATATGGGGGTGGGGTGAGGGAGGTGAGGAGGTGGATCATTAGTCTTCACTTGATTGTCTTTCAAAGAAATCAAAACCCTTGAAATCTTCAAAGTTTGTATTAGGGGTCTAGGATTGGAGAGGAGCTCTCAGACCAGCAAAGCAATAGGTCAGGGGAGGAGAGTAGTGCTGAATTAAGCAACAGAGGACAGAGCAGGAAAAGAAACTATAGAGTTAATGCCTGGAGACCTCAGAAAAACAAGAAAGGAGATGGTAGGTGACCAATGTTTTAAGTATAATAAGTATGATAATAAGTAGCTTGTTGTCCTAACTAGAAACCATTACCATCGAAATTTTTGAAGGAGGCCGTGCTGGGAGTGGAGGCTTGTTGGGGGGAGTGGAGGCTTGTTGGGGGGAGTGGAGATGTTGGGGACAGAACTAACTCATTCCCAATGACAGTGGAGGGAAAAGTAAAAAAAATTAGTGTTAGTCCACTTGAGGCAGTGTGGTAGGATGGTATGCCTGTTTTCTAAGTTATAGATAACTAGCAAATAAGGAAATTTTGGAGCCTATTCAATTTTGTGTATTAAGAAATGTTTTTTTAAAAAATTATGGTTAAGGATTATACTGTATATTATATATTAATATTTATAGCAATATATAATGAAACTTTATGTTTTTCTCAAACTTTTCTTATATATTGTATGATGCATTTACTTCTTATTGAATCATGCTTGCATGTATATTGTAAAAAAAGTGTTTTTCTCAGTTAAAGCTCCACATATTCTAGATCTTTCCTAGCTCCACTTCTCTTAGCTTTCAGTTTTTTATGCTCAGTAAATCAAATGGACATAGGAAATTTTAGCAGCTTTTCCTCCATATGTTCACATTTTGACTGAGAATGAGTCTAAAAAAATTAAATCAGAGATTATGTTATAATGCTAACACAGTATGTAGAATTGGTGTATAGTTCCTTACCTGGAGAACAATTATTATGTAAGTGACTTTGTGTTGCAGCAAATTATTGTTTATGTGATGCTCTCCACTGATTCTTAAATTTATAATTACTGTAAAGTGATTCTCTAACTTCTTAAAATCACTAAAAATTAATTGCAATTGTATAAAAAGAATTATTACATTTCATATTAATGAGTAAGAATACAGATTTTCCAATTTAAAACCAACCAACCTTCCTCCCTCCCTCCTTTCTTTCCTTCCTTCCATCTTGCTTTGTCACCAGGCTAGAGTGCAGTGGTGCAATCTCGGCTCAGTGCAACCTCCACCTCCTGGGTTCAAGTGATTCTCCTGCCTCAGCCTCCCTAGTAGCTTGGGACTACAGGCTTGTGCCACCATGCCCAGCTAATTGTATTTTTAGTAGAGACTGGGTTTCACCGTGTTGCCCAGAATGGTCTTGATCTCTTGACCCTGTGATCCTCCCACCTCGACCTCCCAAAGTGCTGGGATTACAGGTGTGCACCTCCGTACCTGGCAAGCCACCATATATTATTTCATATTTTCCTTCCTTGATGCACCATCTTTTATTTATCTAATGTTGTTCTTATTCTTTGGATTCTTTTAAAAATGTGACCTGAAGTACCTCGTAGAACCAAACATTGTTTATACTTTTTTGTTGCTGTATTAGGTAATTTCAGTTAGGTACTACCATGATTTAATTTTCTTTAAAGTGACATGTTTTTACTTTGAAACCACAGTAAAGAATGTTTATGATCTTTATAGAGACCAAATGAAACTTTTAGCTGCTATCATTCATTCTAGTAACTTTTGATGATTGATAAGATTTCAAGTAATATTTAGTTTGTATAAAGCAAGATATAGAATGGTGCTTTTTTTTCCTTTCCCTTATGAGGCAGTTTCTACCCTCTTCCCATAGGAGAGTATGCTCTGGGTTGTATCTTCGTCTAGAATTCAAAATTATTTTATAATGTATATTATAGTATCATTATCTGATACTTGCATCTCTAGTTCAGTTACCCAGTTATGTCACTGGATTAGATTTTTATTATGGTTTCAGTTTTTGAATGTTATATTTTTTAAAAAATATTTTTATGTTTTCATTAAATCCAACAGAGCTTAAAGGTAAAATAAAATTAAAATATTTTTATAATTTGTCTTTTTTCTTATTACTAATAATGGTAAAATAGTCTGTTAATTACTTTTAACACCTTTGAATTTTATGTCAGTGTAGTATAGATTATAGAAACACCTTGACTTTTTCTAGTTCTACAATCTGCCCTGTTTTGAAAGTTGTCTTTAGCGACATTGGGTTTTGTTTTTGTGTTACTGGAAAATAAATAAGCTTGATCAAATTCCTTTGATCTCTTTAAGGCAGAGAAAATATTAAAATATCATTCATTTTTCTCCAACCTGATTTTTGAAACATAACTACTATTGTCACTTAAACTTATGAAATATAATTTCTGGTATCAAAATTTTCACCCAGTTTTGTTTTCCAATTTTCTGTAGCATAACTCTTCTTCATTTAACCAGTTGATGGTTAACAACTTTTTATTAGAGGTTAGAGTTACTAAATTTTGAAGCAATTTTTGTAAGTAACTTATAAAGTAAAGATTTTGTACTATGTCTTCTGAGGTTGAATGTGCTATGAAAACTTCACTGTGTGAGTAGGATCATATTTGTTCACTCTGCAGAACAGGTACAATTCTAGCCAACAGATTTCACAGCTGTTATCAATTCACCAGTGAGACATGCGTTAGAAGATACCTTATCTCTGTTTACCTGTGACCTCTCCTATGCGTTTTTTATCTCCCAAGGAAAATGCCCTGTAATTTTACACTGTTACCTATAGTTTTATCTACTTGTAAGTTGTGGGCTCAGTTATTTAAAACTGAAGAATTTGACAGTTTTGCCTCTTTCTTTTTTGGTTAAAGTAGTACAAAATGTCAAAAATTAGAAGGAAGGTTACAGTGGAAAATACCAAGACCATATCTGATAGCACATCCCGAAGACCCAGTGTATTTGAGAGGCTTGGACCCAGCACTGGCAGTACACCAGAGGTGAGTTGTCACTAGTATAGTCACAGGGGTTCTCTTAGAATTCTATTATTGAAATGCTTATTTGTATCATAGAGGTGAACAGGTCGTTTTATTGTAGGAATGTTGGTTCAGTAATTTTTTCAAAGGTAAGGTTTATGGGCTTTTCATATTTTTTTCCTGAAGTTTTTATTATTTGGGGAGTAATAGCTCACAGGTTAGAGGGAATTTTGATAGCATTTGTTTTAATTTTGTCCCACTAGCATTTTTTTTTCCAGAACTCAATGTGAAATTTACATAGTAATATCTGTCTCTTAGACACAGTGCCGTAACTGGCTGAAGACTGGCAACTGCCTCTATGGAAACACGTGTAGATTCGTACATGGCCCTTCACCTCGTGGTAAAGGTTATAGCAGCAATTATAGAAGGTAAACTGAGAAATTTGAATTGTTTATGTACTATTAGAAGATGGCTATTGTAATTTATCGAGTATAAAAATCTGAAATACAACCATACATTTGGTCAGATTTTCTGTATTGGTGGTAGTCTTACCAGTAATCAAAGATTGACAAGATCTTTTTGTTTTTATTTTCAAGATTAATAAATTGTCTGCTTTAAAATTAACTTATTCAGTATTTACTTGTTATGATAATAGATCTTTTTGTAATATGTGTATTACTTTTTTTCCCCAAATTATGTATTAAATTGATGCTTAAGACAGCAGAATTTCATGGTGTCTGAATTTCTTTTTAGTGAGGCTAGACTATTTTTAACTCTTAAAATAGTAAAATTAAAATTTGGTATGATTTTAGTTGTTTTAGATGTTCTGAATTTGAATTTTGTACAAATTCCGTAGGTTAAAATGCATTTACTAAATCCCTTGTCACAGAGTGTTAATGTCAATGAAAATACATATTATATGTGGATAAATGTACTCCATCTTTCAAACATCATTTTGCCTGTAGCCTTGGCTAGATTAAACTTGCTTAATAAAGACCTTTTATTTTTCTTTTTGTCCCTCATGATGATTCTTTTATGGTGTTTAAAGATGTAATATATATAAAATTTGTCACAAAAACAGTTTTAACTTGATTGGTAAACAAATAATTTACATAGTTCCAAAATTGGTTATGCTGATTGTTTTGGCTATAGCATAGAAACACTAAAAACTGAACATTAGCAACTGGAGATTTTTTTTTTCTTTTTATTAGTTGGGGTGACTTTTTTGGGGGGTAGTGTATGGGTAGATTTTATTTAGTAGAATTTAAAATTCAAACCCTCAACATTAGCCAACTTCTTTTCACATAACCATTGTATATTTTAGTTTATTTGTGATTCTGCATACTGTTTTATTTGTATTTACATTGTCATTTGTCACTTCTGTTAATGTGAGAAAATTAGTGTTATTGATATGCATATATACATGTGGATACTTACATGGTGAAACTATTTCCATAATTTTAATGTTTTGCTTACATTAATACTACACTTTTAATATTTTTTTGTTGTTTGTTTGTTTGTTTGTTTGTTTTTTTGGGATGGAGTTTCGCTCTTGTTACCCAGGCTGGAGTGCAATGGCGCGATCTCGGCTCACCGCAACCTCTGCCTCCTGGGTTCAGGCAATTCTCCTGCCTCAGCCTCCTGAGTAGCTGAGATTACAGGCACGTGCCACCATGCCCAGCTGATATTTTGTATTTTTAGTAGAGACGGGGTTTCACCATGTTGACCAGGATGGTCTCGATCTCTTGATCTCATGATCCACCCGCCTCGGCCTCCCAAAGTGCTGGGATTACAGGCTTGAGCCACCGCGCCCGGCCCCACTTTTAATATTTTTTAAATTCATCTTTGAAATTTATTAGTTGACTCAATTTTTATTTAAGAAATAATTTTGAGAAAAATGGTCAGAGAAATTTGTCTATAATGGGAAAAAATATCATTACTAGACTTAGAATAAAGGATATTTATTATAATTTTGCTATTTTGTGTGTGTTTTTCTATCTGATAACTTCTTTTGTATTTGTGCATTTTTTTTTTTGTAGGGAGGAAAAATATATTTCATAATGTGAGTTAAAGATGAGAAGAAAAGCAATGTATTTTACAAGATGCTCACTTATATGCTTATATACAAGACTTAAGTAATTTGTTGAGAATTTGCTGTGTGTAGAACATTCACTCTGTTGGGTGCTGTTTAGGATAGAAACAAGTTCATAATAAACTGTTTTATTACATAATATAAAAGAAACCAGGACACACAGGATTTTACATGTACATCATAATCATAATTTAAAGCACTTAAGTACTGGTTCTTAAAAAGAGGTTCCAGTTTCAAGTTTAGCTTTAACTGTTAAAACATTTAATATACATCTATTAAATGTGCATGTAAACATTAATGAGATCCTTTAAAGTGAATTAACTCAAATAATTTCTTCACTAACCTTATGGTTTATATTCATAAAATCAAGGAATTGATTTGATTGATCAGTGGCTGCTTGAAATAGATGTGAATATTTATGTAAGTTGTTAATATCTTTTTTATAGACTACTTTTTTTGTAGTCAAAGAGGAACAGAGCATTTTTTAACTTCTTTTGCCTTCTTTTAAAGGTGTTTTAGAAATAGTCTTTAAAGGCAAGTTGTTTTCTGTCTCTCCTTTATTTTTTCCAACTGATAGTGAAAATAATTGCATAGCCATATGCTGTCAAATTCCTAGCATAAATAATAAAGCCTTACCACTGCTGAGTATAAATATGTGTTTTTCTTTCAATTAAAATTTGCAACAGAATTTGAAAATCACTGTTGTGAAATTTTGCTTTGACTCATTTTGTCTTTATTCTGAAATAAATTAAAATTTAAGAAAAATCATAAAGCTCCTATATTTGCTTTAATTCTGAAGTTATATAAAGTATTTTCTCAGTTGTTGACGTTGCATACAACCACATGTATGTATATAGAAGAAACTTATTTCTTGTAATATCTTCATATATCTTGCATGTGTATTTGATAATGCTGCTACCTCTAGATTAATTTTGCAACTTTATAGTTTAAAACTTTGTGTTAGTATTATGTTTGACTTCCACATGTAACTAATATATTTATATAATTAATAGGAAAACAAGTCAAGTTATTAGTTCCTTTTTCTCAGTTCACATGTAATTCCTTGTTCATGTCACCAGTACCTGCCACTTCGCGGAATTTTAACATACATTTTTATTGTTAGTGGGAGAAAAACTGTAAGTGTTGCTTATGTTTTGCATATCATATTTCAGGTGAAATGATTTTTCAGAAATTTAGGAGTCAGGGCCAGAAAAAGTATATTGAAATTTGTGAGGTTATTTCTGTAAATACGTCTATAGAAAATGTTATTAATATATAAACATAGATTTTTGTTGTTTTGTTTCTTTTTTTTTTTTTGTTGTTGTTGTTGTTGTTTTGGTTCAAAGGTCACCAGAAAGACCTACAGGGGATCTTCGAGAAAGAATGAAGAACAAGCGCCAAGACGTGGACACTGAGTCCCAGAAACGAAATACAGAGGAGTCATCCTCGCCTGTTAGGGTAGGATTGAATTTCCCAAAACAAAGTTAAACTTTAATAGTGATTTGTTCATTTAAGTTTCATTTTAAATATTATTTGTGTGCTAAATATATGGTAAATGTGATGTTCTATATGATAATATAATTTAGAGGAAAATTTAATGTAATTGAAGGGAAAACTGGTTCAGTTCTTTATGGTAGTTAAGATGAAAGGGATTGCTTGGTAGAACTCAAACTGAACTTAGTAGGGATTTTGTACCTTGTTGGGGATCATGAGTATCTTTTAGTTTTCAGAATTCAACCAGCTATCACATCTGCTTCCAAGAAAGATTGAAGCGGCTTGCAGTAGAATATTTACAAATTAAAACAATGAAAGAAAAACACATGGGGTTAACAAACTGAACTAAAAAGTTGAGGTAAAAGAAAGCACATATGACCACAGATTTTAGCTGTGAGTTTGTTGGCAGCGAAGTCAAGAGAAATAAAATTTATAATGTAGTTCATTGAATAAAAGAAAACATAAGTGTTTGTCAGAAATGGAAATCTTTCCCAGAGCTAATTTTTTTCTAGAAATTCATACCATATTTCACATACCATACAATTCACTCATTAAAAGTGGTTTTTAGTATATTATTCGAGTTGTGAAACCATTACCATGGTCAATTTTAGAATATTTTCATTGTTCCATAAGGAAACCCCAAACTTTTCAGCAGTCACCCTTCTAGCCACCAGCGCTAGGCAACCAGTAAATTCTCTTTCTCTCTCTATAGATTTGCCTATATATATCATATAAATAGAATAATAAAATAAGTGATCTTCTGTGACTAGCTTCTTTCATTTAGTGTAGTTTTTAATGGTTCATAAAAGAGTATAGGATGCATCAGTATTTTATTCCTTATTTTTGTCAGATAATATTACATTGGATTGGTAATATCAACATTTTGTTTATCCACTATTTGGTGATGGATATTTGGGCTTTTTCTGCTTTTTGACTCTTGTGTACAATGCTGCTATTAACATTTATATACAAGTTTTTGTATGGATGTTTTTATTTCTATTGGGTTTATATTGAGGGGTGGAATTGCCAATTTCTACAGTAACTGTATGTTTAACCTTTTGAGGAACTGCTAGACTTTCATTAAGTGGCTGTATTATTTTATATTTTTGACAGTATCTGAAAGCTCCAGTTTCTGCACATCATCGCCAACACTTTTGTTTATCTGACTTTTTGAATAGCCATCCTGGTGGTTGTGTAACGATAATGTAATTGCAGTTTTGATTTGCATTTTGGATTGTAATGATGTTGAGCATCTTTTTGTGTACTTGTTGGCTGTTTGTATATTTTCTTTGGAAATCCTTTGCCCATTTAAAAAATTGAGTTATCTTTTTATTATTGAGTTATAAGTGTTCTCTTTATTTTGGATACAAGTCCCTTATTTGTACATATATAACTTGCAGATATTTTCTCCCATTCTGTATGTTGTCATCACATTCTTGATGGTATCCTTTAAAGCATGCACATTTTTAATTTGATGAAATCCAATTTATCTGTTTTTGTTTTTGTCGTTATTGTTGCTTGTTTGTGCTTTTGGTGCCATCTAAGAAACTATTATTTAATCCAGGGTCACAAAGATTTACGTCTATGTTTTCTTTGAAGAATTTTATAGTTTTAGCTCTTATATTTAAGTCTTTGATACATTTTGAGCTAATTTTTATTTATGATGTGGTAAAGGTTCAGCCTTATTTTGCACGTGGATATCCAGTTGTCCTATAATATAGTCTTTTTATGAAAGTTACCGAATTATATAAGCAACAATTTCTTTGATCCTTTAAGGTATGTAGAAGCTTTCTATGGCTGTTTTTGACCCATGATAAAAAAACCCTGACAGTATTATAATTTTTAAACTTATTTCTTGTAATATAGTTTTAAGTGTGTAGTTTTCTAATGTCTAATGTGATGTAGTAATACAGTCTTAAAAATCTCAAATAGTTCTCAGCTGGAGGTTTTTATTAAAATTCCTTTTGAGGGAAGATCTTTTTCAAAATACACATGCCAATATTCCACCCCTCATCTACTGAATCAGAATTTCCGGGTTGGGGCTAAGCATGTATATTACATTTTGAAATAACCTATTGATTCAAAATAAGATAACCTCAGTGGCTTTCTGGTAAATGTACAACTACTCTGAAAAAGAAAGCCATACTTTGTAGGATTTGCCAGTTCTTTGATGTAAATACTCCCACCGTGGTCGATTTCAAGGTTTTACATCACTGACAGATGCATAGTTGGGAAGAGATGCTAAGTGACATTATATACAGTGATCCCATTATGTATATTATAAACACACACACAAAATGTAAATAACCTCAGGAATAAAATGTACTATGAGTTCTGAGTAATTATTACCTTTGTTTTTAATACTTTATTTGCTTAATCATGGCTGTGTTTAACAGTGGCTTCCAGAATTTCTAAAAATTTAAATCAGTTTTTATAAGTCAGTACAGGCAAACTCTGGCCTACTACTAGATGAATTGTTATTAGTGTAAGGAGCAAACATCTGGAATCCATATTCAGAGCATATTACTTTAGGAATTGTTAAACTCTGCTTGTCTTCTTATCTGTAAAATGGAAATGTTGGCTGTCAGTGTTGCTGTGAAGAAAATACATGTGAAAAACATAACGTGATTTACTATTCCATGATAACTGCATAATAAATGGTATATACTGGTATTGAAATGGCGCTTAGCTTTTTCTCACTAATAGAAATTGTCTTTAGGCTCTTATAGAAAGCGAACATCAGCCTTGGAGATTTAGGTTGTTGACAGATACTTAAATGTAAGTGTGTTGTTTATCATAAAGATGTTTATGTTCATTAAATAAAGTTAGGACAACAAAGTTGGCATTTTGTTAAGAAATTTAAAGCCCTATTCTTGCTTTCCTTAGATGAGAAAGTCGTCAAAGTCACTAAGCATCATTTATAACTAAGGGCTAGAATTACAGGGTTCAATAGCGATCAGGTTTTAGGTAATACACTATCTAAACTTAAACAGAGCTGTTAATAAGCTAGGACACCAGGGTATTAATTATCATTATTATTATTATTTTTTGAGACGGAGTCTTAACCTGTTGCCCAGGCTGGAGTGCATGGCACGATCTTGGCTCAGTGCAACTTCTACCTCCTGGGTTCAAGCGATTCTCCCGCCTGAGGCTTTGGAGTAGCTGGGACTACAGGCGCGCACCACCACGCCCAATGAATTTGTTGTATCTTTAGTAGAGACGGGGTTTCACCATGTTGGCCAGGCTGGTCTCAAATTCCCAACCTCGTGATTCACCTTCCTCAGCCTCCGAAAGTGCTGGAATTACAGGCATGAGCCACCACAACTGGCTGGTATTAATTATTTTTAGTGTTATGTATGACAGGTAACAGATACTGATCATTGTTATGGTGCATTCCTGCTACAACACGTGTGACTGTTGATCTACACATAATGAATTTCTATAGTAAGATCAGGCTTAGGTTAGGGCAGCTATAGCATAGATTACGTAGGCATAGATAAGATAGAATGGGTATGATTTTCAGCAAATTAGCAGTAATTCCTCTTCTCTGTCACTGATGTCAACTCCAATATGTCTGAATTATGAGGTTGATAACCC